AATTTACTGATTCCTGCCTCTAAAAGAGAGCTACTGTGTTTGTTTAACCCTCTGTATAACCGGCCTGCGGTGACCGTGTTATACAGACGATTACCTCAACCATTATTGTGCTATAGCTGATATCGATTAGTTTCCTCTTTCTCTGTACAAAAAGGAGGTGGTGGCAGTGTGAAGGGTTAATTGCGTAATTAACCTGACCCAGTAACAATTTCTCCCAGGCTGCCGGTACATAGATTGTGGTCCAATTAGCTGGAAAATCTTTGTGCAGGGTGCAGCTGGGCGTGGCATTGTTACACACGTGACATCTCGGTTTTAGATTGGCTAGTCCTTCGGTCACGAGTTTGGTGAGAAGGTCAGGGGTCTGACGCCGCGATCGTCACAACATGCACACCATTTTTTCTCTTTTTATTTTGGTGTGGGGTTCCCTAGAAGTGTGATCCACTTCCGGTGAGTGACGAAGGCTTTGGACAATGCGTGATAGATGCAGTGATCCAGCGTGCATGTGCAGTGTCTAGAGGACGCCATGACAGCTAGCCCGTTTTTATCATGTATTGCCCCTACTATCGCTCGGTGACAGTGTAAGTCTACAGATCACAGTGATCCTATCCTTGTCCATTATGGATGCATAGTTTCATTATTTCTGCACTGCTGCGTGTGTTTTTTACTTATGGGGATTTGATCAGTCTATCTAGTTTGCATTTTTGGATTGTTACATTACAGTTACCAATTTGTTTTACCACAAGTCAATCAAATATTTTGACAGATCCCTTTTGGGGCATCACTTGCAGGACTCCACCCCTTCCGTTTGCACAGAGAGGGGGAGTGGTTGGGTTTTCATTATCACTTGGTCTCATATATAAGGATCATCAATATGCATTTTATCCATTGCTCTGAAGAAGGAAGTTCAACTCCCAAAACGTGTTAGCACTTGTCACCCAAGGACCTCCGCTGTCCACCATTTTCATTTTTGGCTCCTTGTCTCTGTGTTTATGACCTGTTTTGGTTTGTGAGTTCACAATAAATGTATTTTATATCATGGTAATGCACGAGGAGAGTGCACCCTGTTTTATTCTTTTTAGCTTAGTAAATAAGGTAAAGCTTCATTTTTCAAAAAAATACGCAATCACGAGCAAAGAAACATTTTTAAAAAAGCATTTTTGCTTGCACATGATTGGAAGTCAGCAGAGCTTCTGCTCATTTACTAAGCTCTGGAGAAATGCTCTTGCAAAGTGCACAGTCTATTTGCCTTTAGTAAATCAACCCCATTGCCAAAAGGGTGCTTTTAGAACAGAACTGAGAGTCATTGGTGGATCGTGTACTCTGGAGGACAGCTTTGCAGAGAGGATGTACTGTCCCACCCAGCGTAGCAAGGCATTGGTGCTGAATACAGTACAGGTGTATTTTTCACAGCCATCCATACATTCTAAGAAAGTAGTGGTGAAATTAAGGACGGGGGAAGTCTTGCCGTAATTCATTATCTACCAGGCTTAGGAAAGCCTTAGAGTATATTTCCTTTTAAATACTAAGAACAAACAGTACCGTAATCACTAACAGGTATATTGGATGACAGGAAAGTTGGGTTTGAAGGCATTAGCTCATTATTTTATCTGTGCTTCTAGATCTCACATGTATATATTTGTAATTTTCTATGTATAATAAATGTCACCAAATACAGTACCTCCTTATTCACTCACAGTGAAGGATATAAGAACTGTCCATTCTATTAATGACAACCAAGGAACAGCTTCTTGCTGTTGATCCTTATTTGAATGTCATACAAATATTGGCTCTATTGCTGGCAAATTCTCTTCAACTCACCTTCACCTATGGTATTGCTCTCTTGCTGCCTACACCAACAGTACATTGCTCCATACCATCTCCTTCACTAGCAATTGAGTTTCTGTATCTTTCAGTCAGTGAGGGAGCAGCAACCATAGAAAAGGTGGCAGTTGTATTTTGTTGATTTAGCTCCAGGTGGGATACCTGTGAGATGGGGAAACAGCTCTTATTGTTTAAACACTGTTTGTGTGCAGTAAATTATTGTGTGGAGTAAATTAAATGTTCGGGACTGACATTCTGTGGTTTAGCCACAAGATGTCACTGTTTTCCTAACAAAGCCTCAGACTGCATAGATATTTCTATATTCATGAAGAGGTGGGGTTTTCACACAGGGTTTAGAGGACAGGAAGGAGAGGGACAGCAGCCATGTTTAGAGGATGGTGAATGCAGGAGCCGTGTGAGCAGAGAATCTGATCGCATCCAGATGTGAGAGCATCCCCCAGTAACCAGGGCTGCAGCTGGGTGAAGCTGATCCGTGTCCAAGACCCTGATCCTGTTCAGAGAAAGGAAGATTGTTGCCAGGAATGCTGATGAAGAGCAGAGGAACAAAGCAACAAACACTGCGATACCGCATGCTTGTTGGAGGGACATTTGTTCTGTTCAGAGTCACCAGCGGATGCAAAGCAGACCCGGGTCGGTAAGATCGTGCACACACCTCATTTCAGTGTTGGCGCCTAGAGACTGAGTCGAGGCCTATACTTAGTTAGTTAGGGTCTCTGTTTGTGTCAGGTCACAAGTGTTATTACTGATCATTGGAAGGACTCCGTAACTTAAAGTGACATTTCACATTGGAGAGCTGATAACATCCCACAAACTCAAGCCAGACTGGCGTTTTGCTCAGAAGGAATACTCAGGCATGTGCTACAGGACCAGTTATGGGAGGGGGAATACTGTAGATTTGTGTAAGATTGTAAGCTGTTGTGCTGCACCGCAGGCTATCCCATACCGTACACTTATACACTGATTCCTGCTCTTTTAGGGTAATAACGGGTAAGGTGTCGCAGCTTTGTTGTGCCCGCCAGTAGGTAAATTACTACACCTTCTACCTTCATCCATCAGGAGGCGCCGTGCTGTGCAGCACAAGGGTCTCAACCTTTGGGCTGAGTGTATGTAAATTTATTGTATGTTTCCAGCATTTGTGGTTGTGTTTATTTGCCACATCTAAGTAAAATTCTGTTGTGGAAAAAGCTGGTGTTGGGGTTGCTTTCCTCGTTCGTGACTTCACTGTATCTTGGAGAGCCCACCCCCGGTACACGGCTTACATACCATCAGCAGCATAATCACCACTCGTGAAAAAGGTTACTTTGGAATATCTTTTAAGCTCCTATTTTACTGAATAAGTGGTACAAAGAATTTACAGTATGTTGGAAATTGTTATGATTTTATCAAAATTGTGTGATTTTTAGCTTAACTTCTGCCAGACAATCTCGAGTTGTGCCCAGATCTCAAGATTAGATCACATAATGCCAGAAGTGTATGAAATAGAACTGTTAGTATACTGCTGGAGCAATACATTGGGATAAATCCTAAGCTGCAATAAAATATCTGGAACCACTGGTGTATTTAGGTTTTGTGCCACCCTAGGCAACACAAAAATCGTCTGCCACCACAGACACTGACCAATACCAACCCCCTCCCATTTTCCCCCTCCCGTGGAGAGAGCCTGACATTGACCAATAACACCCCTGACCCCCACCTGGGAGAGCTTTCCGCTACTACCCCTGGTGATAAAGAGAATGTCACTCATGTTCATCTCCAGACATCCCCGGGAATGAGAGTCAGACTCTACATACACCCAGGGGTGTATTTACCACAAGGCAAACAAGGTGTTAGCCTAAGGCTGCATTTTTCAGGGGGGCAGCGCTGTCCTCCGAAAGAAGGAAAGGAAGACGGGACACACACAGCAAGGGGACTAGGTGGGATCTGAGAGAGGCTGTGTGCTGCTTGATGGTGTATGCAGAGCCTGACTCTTGTTTCCAGTGATGTCTGGAGCTGTGAAGGTGAGTGGGGCGGTGGTAGTGGAAGGTTCTCTCGGGTAGGGGTGGGGCATGCTGGGGTGCTGTTGGTCAATGGGGGGAGCCAATTTTTGTGTTGCCTAGGGCAGTAAGAAACCTAAATACACCACTGCATACACCATTAAGCAGCCCGCAGCCTCTCTTGGATCCCACGTGGTTCTCATGGAACACGTCTCTTCTTTCCTCCCTTCTTCTGGGGGCAGGTGCTGCCCCCCTAAAAAATGCTGCCCTAGGCAAGTGCCTTGTTTGCCTTGCGGTAAATACACCCCTGTCTGGAGCCAGTGAAGTAAAGGAGGAGCTGGTTTGCTTGCCACAAGGCAACAAGGAATTTAAGGTATATATAAAGACAAAACCTCATTTCTAGATTTGGATAGAGAAAGAAAGGTTAGAACCTCTAAAATTGTATAGCTGTTTGTGTCCCACTGGGGAGATTCAACCACATCAAGAAAAGATGGGAAGTACACAAATTTAAATTTCCCAGAATAGAGGATAGAGAAATAATCTTTCAATGGGGATAACTTTGTAGAGCTGGTCATACATGCTTCAGTTTTTTTTTCTTTCAGCCAGCAGACTGAATGAAAAAACTGAACCAATTCCCCCATCCACACATTCAAAGTAGATGAGGGGATCCTCCTTGCTGCACTATAGCAATCTGACAGCGGGGAGACTCCTCTGCTATCAGAACACACAGATCAGTGCTGCAGCCACTATTGAAGAGGCTTCTATCTGACATGGTGGTTAAATAGAAGTCAGTCAGTAGATCAACTTCTGTTAAACTGCTGTAGCCACTCATGGATTGAAATTGACCTGGTCCCTGCGGAACCAGCCAAGATATTCTCCATGTATGGCAATTTTAAGAGGGGAATTTCTCTTACATTTTAGATATTTTCTATCTCAGATTCTAGATACTTTCTGGCTCATCTTCATGACAGGATGTGAAGGTAAATCTCCAAAACAGGGGCCAGATAGCAAAATATACACTGAGAGGGATTTTTTTTTTAAAGTTGTGGGTATACATACACTTCAGTTGGAATACTATCATAAGTTAACTTAAATATCTAATGAATTTAGCTGGTAGGGGTAGAGATTAACAAGTAATTAAGTAATGTAAGTAATGACCAGCAATCCTCCAATCTCTGTATGTTGTCAGTATAGGGACGGCTTTTTCTTCTTTCCAGCAAAACATGACAGCCATGTGCAGATGAGCATAGCAACTGCTGCTCCACCTCCTGTACAATAATATGCCCAGCCAAGTTTGCAGGTACCTGATACATAAGACAAAATAAATGTGTTACTATTTATATTAAAGCTATTTGCTCACTAATCAGTTATAGGTAGACAGACTTGACAGAATGCATGGGAAATGTAAGCTCATTGTCTCGGTTTTCACTTTGGTTTAAACCTGATATGTACAAAATTCAATAGCTCAAGCTAAAAATATACTAGTGCTTTCTGAATAAAAGTCACAAAGGGTCATACTCGTTGAAAAGTTTTGTCTGTGATTTGGTTTATCTCTATAGATAAATCTGAGATTGATTCTTGGCGTCTGAATGAGTTAATATTTCTAGATTTGTTTACCAGCTAACCTAAGGACTTTTGTATGGCCAAGGACAGTTTGAGCCTGGAATCACATTAATGTACCAGCCCTAAGGGAACCATTGACAGTGTCCAGGGTGTTCCAGACTCTTTGGTAATTATGCAGATGAAGTTTAATGTCTTACAGAGGACAGGAATAATGTACCCGGGTGGTAAATGCTAGAATTAATTTTTAATGTTGTGTAATAGCCTTCTGCTTTACCTAAGCTTCCCTGCCATTCCATTGCTTGCATATATTATAATATTTATGCACTCTACTCTGCATCATTTTTCTGTTGAATCGCCTATTCTTTTTTACTTTTTTTAAATAGGCAAAGGCAATGTACTATATATTCAGCCGAACAATTTTCATTTCATACATAATTTACATAGCAAATATTCTGTGATTTAAAATTCTACTCATAATGTACATAATTGGGGTTGATTTACCAAAGGCAAATAGGCTACTCACTTTTCAAGGAAGTTACACTTTGCAAAGGAAACTTTTCCCAGACTTTAGTTATCGTGGTCAATATTCACTATGCAAAGAATACCCAATACCCGCGTGCTTGAAAATAAAAAAGACAGCATTTTTGCTTGCACATGATCACTTGCAAATGATCGGATGATGGAAGCCAACAGAGCTTCACCTCATTCACCAACCTCTTGGAAAAGTTCCCCTGCAAAGCGCTACTTCCCTTCCAAAGTGAAAAACATATTTGCCTTTAGTCAATCAACCCCAATGTTTTTTATAATAGCATCACAAAACCAAGGCTAATTTTACTAATATGCAAAAGATAGACATCATGATATCACAAGTCTCTAGAGGATTTTTTCATTGAAATGTATAGGGCGGGCAATCTGGGAAAGGAGCTAAGTTCAAGTCACAACAAGCACTTCTCAAGGCAATTGTAGAAGATTTCCCAGCTACAGGCAACAAAAGAGACTTGGTGGTAGGTTGAACTCAGCATCTTTTCATCCAAAGTTTGAAATAAAAAATATCAAATTTCCCTTCATAATAATATAGAACTACATAATACAACAGATTTTCCAGGTACAGCTACTGAGAAGCTGTAGAAAATGTGCTAAGAGTCATATCAAAGCTAGATTGTGGTAGGCAATATTTTCCTCTCAACTACTTAGAAACTACAATTTCAAAGATGTAAAAGGACCATGTTGCATAGCGTGGGGACAATATTAGAATGGTCAAGGGGCTTTCAGAATTATTTTGTCAAAATTATAGTTTGGAAGATTAGAATGTGCCACCATGCTGTCTTTCTCTTTCAGCTTGCAAGAGATCCTTTATTTATGGTGGCCATCATTCTTCTCTAACTGAAAGAGTGCTAGCTTTCCCAATAATAAACAGCAAATTGGACAGTTTCTGGACAGATTTGGGAGCTTTGAGCTAGATAAGAATTGCTATTCCCCAGCTTTCTGTTTACACCCGACTACCTCCAATCTGCCTAGAGAATGGATCTCCTTCTGTTTGTTTTTCAGAGATAAGCAGTTGTAAACAGACATAAGTCCATTTACACCAGCCGGTCCATAGGGATGAATGGACTGTCCAATCAGGTCCACCTGGAAAACTGACAGACAGCCCTGATCAGAACCGTTGTGTGAAAGGGCCTTAAGAATTGGTAAGCTGCAAAAAATGGCTCTATCTGACTTGCTGCAGCTTCTAATGAACATTGTGAGAAGCTCAATGTGCAATGAAATCAAAATAAGCAGTTTGATTGCAGGAAAGGAGCCTGTACAACTGCTCAATACTGAAGGTAAGACTGGGGTCAGCATTAAAGGAGAAGTACAGCTAAAGCTCGCTTGACTATAGTTCTCCTATGGATCACAGGAGGGCAGTTCGTTCTGCACTTCGGTGATTTGTTTTCAGTTGACAGCGGGCTAAAGTCCACTCTCAGCTGGTGTCACTCAGCCAGTCTAAGCTGGGGAAAGATCATGACAATATGGTCGGGATCCACCCAGGAGTCTGGAGCAGCTCCTGACTCAGCCTCTCAGCAATCCGCTGAGATCCTGAGCTAGCCATTCCCACCCCTTCCACAGACCAGCCCTCCAGTGAGCACTGGAAGGGCAGTGCAGACAGCAGTGACGGACAGTCACCGCTCTCTGCTTAGAGCTACAGGGAGAACTGAGCAATCAGTGGTGTCTGATCGCTCAGTTGTCATCCTCAGAGCCAGCGGTGGACAAAGGCAGCATTGGATAGATGCTGCATTCTCCTAGGTAGGTATGATTTAGAAAAAAACATACTTCTCTTTTAAGTACAGTGATTTACAGCCAAAACTCATACATTATCTAACAAAAACAATTGGATTGGATGCTATGGGATACTGCAATTTTAGCTACTGCATTGCTCCTGACACTGCAATACTAAAAAGTCTGTTAATGTTCAGCAGGGGATGAGTTAATTATACATTGAAGCCATGTAAATATCCTGTGTATCTTGTATTGTACAAATGGAAAGTCGGCTGTATTGATTTCAATCCCTCTCAGCTATAATGAGTTTTACTCTGATGCACAGCTAGTGCTCCTCGTACACACTTTCACAGACCATGATTGGTGATTGTGAGTCACTTGTTACCTAATTGGAACTGACTGGACGTGTTGCCACATGCCTGCTGGATTTCAGGACTGTTCCACCCCAGTGGGTACAGGGCACATCCGGAGCTAATGAGGAGTCCTACAGAGAATCACATAAGGAAGAAAGAACATGTTTGTTTACTCAGTGTGAGCCGCACAGCAATCTGCAATATTCATTACAACCAATTACACAGCTACATTTATGCACAGTGTTCTTTTTGGAGTATATTTGGTGCTTGAGAAATGACAAATATTTCATTGAAGTGGAAACAAAGCAAAAAAAAAAAAAGCAAAACAATAAAAATTTTAAAATGTATCTTCCAAGAAATGCCATCTAATTGTAGAAGCAGAATACTAGGCAGGTTAATCAGGCCAAACAAAATCTCAAGCAGAGATTATTAGCTGCAAAGGACGCAGAACTGTGGCTTAGATTAGACAGAATTCTTCTATTTCACCTACAAACACATTTATATATATGGGCTAAAAAAATGTTTTTAAACTTATTAAGTTGTTTTAGGACTTCCACCAGTTTAGCCTAATTATGGAAACTTTCTGGCATTTAATTTTGATATAAAGCCATTTATAACTCTGCCCCAAATTACATCACCAATCTTGTCTCCAAATATCACCCAAACCGTCCTCTCCGCTCCTCGCACGACCTCCTGCTCTCTAGCTCCCTTGTCGCCTCCTCCCATGCTTGTCTCCAGGACTTCTCCAGAGCTTCCCCCATCCTCTGGAATTCTCTACCCCAATTTATCAGACTATCGCCTACTCTGCTCACTTTTAGGCGATCTCTGAAAACCTATCTCTTCAGGGAAGCCTATCCTACAGTCAGCTAATAATGGAATCTTCTACTCTTCCTACCAGTCCATCTCCCACAGTTACTACCTTTTGTACCACTAGCCCCTCCCTCCTAGATTGTAAGCTCCGAGGAGCAGGGCCCTCCTATCCCTCTTGTATTGAACTGTATTGTTGCTGTATTGTCTCCCATTATATTGTAAAGCACTGAGCAAACTGTTGGTGCTATATAAATCCTGTATAATAACAATAATGTTCAGCTTTTGTGTTTAGTACCTTTCATAGAAAAATGTTACTCCTTAAAGCCCAGTTTGAGCAAGAAAGCCTGTCCCCTGCCAGCAGCTGCAGAAAGCAGAGGTCTCGATGCAGAGCTCCAGCACACCCCCTACTGAGCCAGATCCATAGCTCTGCAGTTAGCTCTTTTTCCCCGCTAATCAGAGAGCTTTTGCTCTGACTCAGCAGATGATGTTGTACCTCTGCCAAGAGATCATTTTTTTCCCTACAGACATCAAGGATCCCACCCTGCAGTATGCTGGCAGGACACATGCTTTTCTACTCAGGATGAAGAAAACTAAGAGTTTTTTAACTTTTTGTTTTTATGGAATACATTTAGCTAACTTAGTGAAAGTTTCAATGGTCTTTAAAGTATGTGATTTAGACCTAGCATGATAAATTTATTTTTAATGAATTGAGAATCAGTTGTGAATTTTTATAAACATTTTGGATCCTCCCATCTCAAAAGTCAATAGGCCTGGTGCAAAAGTCTGGTATATCTCTTTAAGGGTCCATTCATTTTATTGCCTTACATTAACATACTGCCATGTGCTGCAATGTAAAGCATAACCAGAAATGCAGAAGGCACAATTTTAGATCAGCTGTGGTGCATTTGACAGCCTGGGGTTGTCCTAATGCAATGCACAGATGCATCACATGCACTGCAATAGATCACCTGAGTGTGAACGGACCCAAATGGAGAATACAATGCATTGTATTATAAGTTATTGTAAATTTGATATAAATTCAATTATTTTTGGTTTGTGCCATGGCAATTCTTTAAAAGCAGTTTCTGGCATCCTAATTTTATAGAAAAACAGTGCTTAAAACACACCTTTAACCACTTAAGGACCGCCCTATAGCAGATATACTGCTACAGGGTGGCAACTGTGCACAAAATCACATATAGCGTGATTTTACATTTCCGGGTAGGGGGTGCGCGCCCTACAAGCGCCGCCATTCGCACCCACGGATGTGTCAATCACTGGGTCCTGGACGGTAATTACCCACCGGCGCCCGGTGATTACCGACAATCACCAATGGGGAGGAGGACTGTTTTGTTTACAAACAGTCTTCCTCCCTGTCAGCTCGAGCACACTGCTCAGGATGGCTGTGCACAGTACAGCCATCCTGATCAGTGTGCTTACAGTAAAGCACACGCCCCCCAGTAAAACACTCCCAGCACATAGTTAATCCTTTAATCTCCGCTCACATTAACCCCTTCCTGCCCAGTGCCATTAGTACAGTGTCAGTGCTTTTTTTTAGCACTGATCACTGTATTATTGTCACTGGGGATGTCAGTGACACCAAGTCAGAATGTCCGCAGCAGTCCCGCAGTCACGCAGTCCCACTAAAAGTCACTGATTGCCACCATTACTAGTAGAAAAAAAAATCCCAGTAACGCAGCGCCATAACGCAAATAATGGCCTGGTCAGGAAGGGGAATAGATCCTCAGGAGATCAAGTGGTTAATGTCCAAGTTCTGATTCTCTGAAAAAGTTGGATTTAAATACAGGTTTATGAGGTATCCTAAGGTACAATGTACTGGGATTTTAAGCTGCCAGAGGTATGCGTGAATGCTATGTGGTGCCTGCTGTTATGCTACAAAACTCACTTTTACTACTTTTTAATTTTGCATAAAAAATGTGGGACTCATCTCATTCACACAGGCGTATCTAAGCTTACATCCATAGGATGCACAGATGTTTTGTGCATCTGTGTGCAGGCAGTCCCGTTCACCTCTATTGCAATGTAACGACTGCCCAGACACAGCTGCTGCTCCCAATTTGACAGCCGTAAAGGTGTGTGCCTCCAAACACACACTGTCTGCTTTTGTGAACACGCACTTGCACTTACAACGGCTGTCAAATTGGGAGCACTGACTGCGTCCATGCAGCCACTGCAACCCAAGTGACATGAATTGGACTGCCTGCATGTTGATGTACGGAACATTTGTGCATCCCGTGCAGGCAAACATGGCCCTTCGTACAGGGTAACCTGTGTGAACTAAGCTTTTTTTTTTTATGTGAACCTGTCACAATTCTGTCCTAATAATCTAAATGAAAAGGCAAAGCTTAAATACATACCCTTTGATTATGGCCTCATGCACATTGAAATTTAGAAGCTCAAACGTGGTTAAACGTAAAATTCTCATTGCTTTCCCGTGCCTCAGAAGCCACAAGTGGCATGTACAGCCAGCCGTAGAAGTGAATGTCTGAACGCAACTGTATTGGTGTAAACTCTGATGCTCCAGTGCATTTGGAAAATAGGGTATAAGCACATTCCCAGGTAGCATGTAAGGCTGCACAAGTATAACTGCCTTCCTTGTATGGCTGGCCGTGCACATCACCCGTGGCTCCACAGGCATTGGAATACACTGCTCAAAAAAATTAAAGGAACACTCTTTAATCAGAGTATAGCATCAAGTCAATTAAACTCCTGGGATATTGATCAGGTCAGTTAAGTAGCAGAGGGGGTTGTTAATCAGTTTCAGCTGCTTTGGTGTTAATGAAATTAACAACAGGTGCACTAGATGGGCAACAATCAGGAATGGTTTTACAGATGTAGGCCACATTTTTTTCCCTACTCATCTTTTCTCTTTTTCACTAGTTTTGCATTTGTCTAGGGTCAGTGTCACTACTGGTAGCGTGAGGCGATACCTGAACCCTACAGACAGTCCAACTCTTCCAGGATGGCACATCAATACGTGCCATTGCCAGAGCATGTAGGAGAATCCAGGAGACAGGCAATTACTCTAGGAGAGCTGAACAGGGCCGTAGAAGGTCCTTAACCCATCAGCAGGACCGGTATCTGCTCCTTTGTGCAAGGAAGAACAGGATGAGCACTGCCAGAGCCCTACAAAATTACCTCCAGCAGGCCACTGGTATGAAAGTCTCTGACCAAACAATCAGAAAAATACTTCATGAAGGGGACCTGAGGGCCCAGCACCCTCTAGTGGGCCTGGCACCATAGAGCTCTACTGGCATTTGCCATTGAACGCCAGAATTGGCAAGTCCACAACTGGCGAACTGTGGTTTTCACAGATGAGAGCAGGTTCACCCTGAGCACATGTGACAGACATGAAAGGGTCTAGAGAAGCTGTGCAGAACGTTATGCTGCCTGTAACATCATTCAGCATGACTGTTTTGGTGGTGGGTCAGTGATGGTCTGGGGAGGCATATTTATGGAGGGACGCACCGAACTCTACAGGCTAGACAATGGCACCCTGACTGCCATTAGGTATCTGGACAAAATCCTTGGACCCACTGTCAAACCCTACGCTGGTGCAGTGGGTCCTGGGTTTCTCCTGGTTCACGACAATGCCCGGCCTCATGTGGTGAGAGTATGCAGGCAGTTCCTGGAGGATGAAGGAATTGATACCAATGAATCGCCCCCATTCTTGCCTGACCTAAAATCCAATAGAACACCTCTGGGATATCATGTTTCGGTCCATCCGACACCGCCAGGTTGCACCTCAGACTGTCCAGGAGCTCAGGGATGCCCTGGTCCAGATCTGGGAGGAAATACCCCAGAACACCATCTGTCATCTCATTAGGAGCATTCCCAGACATTGTCAAGCATGCATACAAGCACGTGGGGGCAATACAAACTACTGAATACCATTCTGAGTTGCTGCAATGGAATTTCAGCAAAATGGACTAGCCTGCTGCATCATATTTTCACTTTGATTTTCAGGGTGTCTTTTAATTCAGTCCTCTGTAGGTTGACAATTTTCATTTCCATCAAACAATGGGGCATCTTTATGTTCCTAACACATTACCCAGTCCATATCAGTGTAGATGATATTTTTCCCCATTGAGATCTGATGTGTTTTCAAAGTGTTCCTTTAATTTTTTTGAGCAGTGTATTATGTTTGAGGACTTTTAAGTATCCAAATATCCATGTGTATGAGGCCTAAATATATGTCAGCCTTGTAAAATTATACCTGTTTTTGTCAAGAAAATTAAACCATTCAGACATCTGAAGCTAATTACTAAAGAAAAGTAATTTTCCGTCTTGTGAAATTACA